CGCTTTGTTTTTTATATTAGCAATTTAGATTCAGTCTTCTGAGGAAGACTGACTGGAAAGCTAGAACTACTGAAAACTTTAAATCAAGATCCTGAAAACTGAGTGGTTGAGAGACAGTGGATCATTAAATCAGATTTTAAACTCTCTTAAACCCCTGTTCAAGTTAAGAGTCGGGGCAAAGATTTAAATCTGCTTCTTCAAAGATATGAGACTTGACCATTATAGTTTTCTGTGAAATACTGCAACAAAAGCAGAAAAGTCACTCTAACTTGCCTTGTGTCCCCCGAGATAAAGACAGACTTTTTATAAAAGCCTTTGGGATGATTTTGTTATGGGCATGTGTGTAATGACATGCTTTGTACCTGAAAGATGAGGTTAGGTTTCTGGTTTGATGACTAAGCCTGAGAACAAGAGAATGGGTAGAACTGAAAACAGAAAAAGCATTGGCTGTGGACAGCAGAACGCAGCAGTAGGTAGTTATGAATGACAAATTTTGTTGGTTGTAAGCGAGAGAGGATTTTTTTCAGTAATGTGAAGGGGATGAGGTGTGACTAAGATATCTTTAAAACAGTTCAATCTGATTTAGGACCATAGGCATGAATAGGTTTTCAATCATGTGATCTTTGTGTAACAGTAGAGGGCAGATTTAAGTGTGTTTGAATGTCTTGCCTGTGTATTTCCATAACATGGGGTTTTTTTTTCAGTTTTTAACCTAAACGTTGAATTTCCTGTTTGCAATTGTTTATGGTTTAATTATAACATTCATCTCATGACTTCAACACTAAGTTACTGCTGTGTACTCTAGTCTTTAATTCCATATTAATGTATGTCTTCGCCTGAATCTTAGGGCATTCCTTCTCTTGATTAGAAATATGTTATTTAGTATATATAGTAGCAGCTGCTACTATATATATATATTATTATATACTGCATGTTCGGTTTATTAGCAAATGCTCTGAAATTTTCTCCTCCCCCCCTTCAGTGATGAGGCAAGACCAGATTTCCAGGTGAAGGTTGAAGTGTATAGTTGCTGTACAGAGGAGTCTTTATATGTAACAAACACTCCTAAGAAACTAGCAAAGAAGCTTAAAACATCCCTCAGCAAAGCTACAGGGAAGAAACTCAAAGCTGCGCTGGAAGAAGATGGCACTGAATCCCTTTTGCCTGCTGACCCAGTCATCCAGTAAGCCATATATGTTGATATTCTGGTTTTATCATTTTTAAAATAGAAATAAGCCAAATATATTGTGAATTTTTGGAAAGCTGCCAAGAAAGTGATTATTTCTGTACTTAACCAAGTGAAAAAAAATTTACATTTTAAGTAGGAAATGAGAAAGTAGGTGTGAATTCCAACCATGTCGCTCAGCCTTGGGGCCTGGTTCTGAGCTTTAAACACATGAGTAGGCTTTATTTTTCTGCTGTATGGCTAGCTAGCTTTAAACGCATGAGTAGGCTTTATTTTTCTGCTATGCGGCTAGCTAGCTGGTAAAGCCACTGTTATTTGCAAACTTTATAATACTTGTAGTTTGATCTCTGGAGGAAATCAAGCTTGTATGATCAGTCTGTGTCCCTCTGTCCATCTACCTTTCCTTCTCCTCTTTCCCATTTACTCCCCCATGTTATTTTTGCACCTATCCAATTTTGCTCATGTTTGACAGACAGGTAGACATGTCTAAAAGTCACAAGTTGTGTGAAATAAAAAGGTGTGGTGCATAGGGAGGAGAAACCTCTCTTGTACCCTCTCCCCTAATGAAGCTGACTGAGCTGTTTTGGTGTAAAACTGTGGACTGTCAAAGGCACTTTACAGTTACAAGCTGCTCAACAGGAATTTTCTTAATTGACTTTATCACAGAACATTTTAAAATTACTTACTGGTTTTCAGTGTTCGTAGAAATAAGGGCTATTCCCAGTAATTTACCTGTTTCCTTTTAAAAATGATCTTCAGTCTTTCATGCATTTTTTTAGTGAAGTTAACTGCCTACTAATATTTCCCACCTACATTAATTTCATTGGGATTTAAGCAAGTCAAGTACCTAAATTGTAAATACTAAAAAAATTGATTTAATTATTTTTTTTAGAAAGCAATTTTTTCAAGGAATTATTCTCTTTTGGCAGCCGAACAATAAAGAATCAATGCTTAATTCTTGCCAAGTGTTGAGCGTAGTCTTAGTCTAGCTTCATATATCTATTTGCCTGGATTTGACAAAGGTAGAATATGCTTGAATGTTTCCTTTTAAAACTGATATTACTGTATATTGATATTTATGTTTCAATCAAAAATACACGTCCACAAGATCTTATCCACAGAGCAAATATCACTAACTTTCCAGTGTGTTCCACCTAACGACAATGTATCTTTCGATCTGCAGCATCTCAGGTGGCTGTGCTTTCCACAGGCTCCAGTTTGGTGATGACACACTATCATTAGATACAGTTTGCTTCAGATATAACCACGAGCTTATTTGCTGCTTGTTTGCTCTTGACTATAGATTCTCTGTCTTTTAAGGAAGATGCATCAGCAGACAATCTAAACAGCAGCTTCCTCCCTTGCGTTTTGCTTTTGGTTTCTCAGTTGTGATTGTATTTTGCTTTCCTCCATCTTTAAGTTTGTTGTTTCTACTGTAAATAATTATCTCACAATGACTGTTACTGTCTTAACAGAGTTAAATGAACAATGTTTAATGATGGCTTTGCAAGGTGATTAAAAGATTCTTGGAAAGAAATGGGTTGTTATAGGTAGAAAATAAGTTGTCAATTTTTTTTTTTTTATAGGCTCCCCTTAGGATTTATATTAGTAAGACCTTGGTATGTAGCTCTTATAAGGGGAAGAGATTGCAAGATTACAAGAGATCTTTCAAGTATTCCCAGACAGTTTTACCAGTCCAGCAGGTGAAATTAAACTGCAACAAAAAAGGGAACTTGCTGTATTACATGAACAACTTTTCCCTGTAGATTTCATTTGTACAGGCCTTTTTCTTTTCAGAGCACACGTGGGTGAAGTTCTCCATTTTCCAAAAACTCTGTGATCCCTCTGTGTCAAACTTTTTGGCTTAGAAATCTCCCTGGTTAGCGAGGAAACTGTCAGCCTTGTAACTTCTTGCAAAAGCTTAGTGACAAAGTGCTTTGAATGGTTGCTTAGGCTGGTTAACTTCAGTTATACCGTCTCTCTTTTCATTTCTATGCAGTATTTTGCCTGCTTAATTTTTCTATTCTAGCTTTTTTTTTTCTTTTTATATTTGTCATAGAAGGAAAATGTTTAGTGCAGTTATACTATTGAATTCCAGAGTAACTAGGTTGCTCTTTGGCTACATCATTGGAGAGACTCCCTGAAGCGCATGTTTATTCACTTGCAGAACTGGCCTACACATGGACTTGTCGTTCTTGCCTTTTATGCATTGTCCTCCACTGGGCTGGAGGCACGGCTTCAGTGCCCTGTGTTTGAATTGACAAATTCATAGTGATATTTTGCTAGAAGTACATAGTCTAATCTAATGGCCTCACTTTTACAGTTGGATTCTTTTTAGTACCTGAAGGTTATATTTGGTTTTACCTTCTATTATTTAACATCTAATTGAAAGCTGACCATATTAGATTTTTTTTTTTTTTGACTTACAAATCCTTGACTATATATATCTGGATGAGTGAACCAAGATTTGGGTTTCTAACGTTGGGATTAACATTCAGGAACAGATTCTGGAATCTGAGATGTATTAATTAATATGCATCAATAGAAAGGGTGATAGTTACACCTTCCCACGCCAGTGTCTGTGTGGCAACTTTTGGTGCCTCTGTCTCTTGATCAGTAAACAGATTTAACAACGAGCCTGTGCCACAGGCATGTTGTGGAGATGAGCTGATTTTTTTTTTTAAATAAAGTTATTACATGGAAAGATATTATAGATATGCAAAGTACTGAATGAGATGCAGCAAGCAGATTATTCTTTGTTATACAAAGAAAGTACCATTTAAGGCAGTTAGCTAATTCTGTGAAATGCAGAGGAAAACCTAGTCAACAATCCTGATTAGCCAGTTAAATTTGAAAAATATTTGCAGATAAAACTTTTCTAAATTATATTGCATCTGGCTGAAAGGAATGACTGTTATATTTTAGAATGAAAATGTTACTGTGAAGCATATTTTTAAAGTGAAGTAGCTATTTTTTTTGGCAAGGTTGTTATGGTAATTAGTCATGCTTTAGAAAAAAACCTTGAAAAATCAGCACAGAAGTTTTATCTGTGAGAAGAAACTGAATTTTTGGTACAGTTTAAATAGAATGGGAATGTATTGCTCAACTGAATGGCAAAACATAATCAGTGGAGAATCTTTTGTTAGGGAACAATCTAGCAGGGAATATATACAAATCCTGATGAGTTTTTGTTCAGATTGCCCTCTTGAAATGTTTCACAGCAGTGTTTTTTTGCACAGAATGTTATATCATAGTTAATTCTGTCTTTATTCCTTAAAGATAGATGTGTAACAGACCTCCCTGCTAACGAACTTGCTACTTCTCCTCCTCTTTCATTAGGTTTAGAACTAGGTAGGCATTTGCCTTGTTCCTCTGCAGAGCCAAAGATTTTAAAACAGTATGGTCCCACTGTGCTATTAGGAAAAATAACATTTGAAAAATATTATGATAGAAAACTATATTAGTGATGTTAGTTCAGTGGTGTCCTCTCACCTTTTACACCTCCAAGCTATTTTATGCTGTACTGAAGCTATTTTAAGGATCTTCTGCTAGATCCTGTTAGGGAGAGTAGTTAGTGATTTTGAGGGGTTTGTTTTCCTGTGAACTTTGTTTAAACTGCCATTAGCGAGGTGGAATTCTTACTGCATTGCTGGACTGTAAATCTGTTACTCGGTCCGAAGAGTATTTGGGGGAAAAGGTTAAACATGTACCAAATTTATACTGGTTTATTCCAAGAATTGCATTCCACATGCACTGTGCTGAATTGTAAATGTGACTTTTTTTTTCCCTAGGCAAAATCCAAACCAAAGATATAATATTCTGAAACCTGTAAGCGCAATAAGAGTCCTTTATGTTACAAAACTGACTGTGGGATTTCTGCATAGATTTCTGCATGTGAAGAATCAAGCTATTAAATGCTATTAAAAAATACTTTTATAAACAACTGTTTAATAAAGTGTAGTCTACTCAGGCAAAGCAAAAGAGCAGTATAAAGCCTTTTAATTTTTAACCTGTATTTTCAGATAAAGTTTATGTCATCAGTTGTTCTATTAACTGTAGCAATTTTTGAACCTGTTACCAAATCTAGTTGATTTAGGCCTAGCGATAAAAGCTGTAAAACTATTAAAAGTTACGTGGTGTCTGACTAGAGGAGACAGATGCTTTAGCATGTTGGATAGCCCAGCCTTTATGTCTGGGCTTAGCAGCTGCTGGCTCAGCAGTAAGCATGAGCGCAGCTCATGGGCAGTAACCACAGAAGTCCCCTGGCTGGCAGGTCCAAGAGAGGCGGCTATGGAAAGAGCCACCTGATGGGTCCTCATGGTGTTGGCCTGGAAGTTGTGGATTTGCAAGGAAAAACATGGATATGGGAGTTCTGTGGGAAGAGGTTGGGGGGTGGCGATCTGTGTTCAATGACAGGTGCTGCCTTGCACCTTGGCATTCCCTTGTACCCAAGTGTGTTATCTCAGGCATGTCCAGACTCCCTTTAATTACTACCTGAGCAATGTGAAGCAGAAGTGTCTTAAATATGCCTTTTATTTCACATTTAGAGGAGCAAAGTACAGTTTGCTAGCATATACCACTTTGGGACTGGAGAGTGCTGAGGACAGTTTCAGGACCCACAACCTTACCATTACAGGAAATGGTAAGTACATATGGTATCAATTTAAGGAAATAAAAAAACAGTAACATTTTGCATTTCTCTCTCTTGTAAACTAAAGAGCTTAAAGAGATTATTTTTCTTGATACTTAATATAGAACAACTTTAATAAAATATTTAACAGCTCTAAGACAGGCATCTGTACACAGCTGAATAAACTGTAAGTTGAGTAAAATTTCAAGTCCAGATGAAAATGAATTCTTTTGGGAGTTTCTTCTGTCATTTGCATCTCAGTCTTATGTGAGTTGTAGCTATATACAAATTATTTCTCCTTCCTCACAACCAAGGAAGAGTATCAGAATGAAAAACAGCCTTTTTCCTCTGTAGTCAGAAGAAAAATAGAAAAATAGCTTCAGTTCAGCTAGGTTGTTTCAGGCCCAGATTTAACACAGGACATAAGCACGTGTGCTTGCGATTTGTGTTGGTCACTTACTGCAGCTCTGGGACAGCACAAGTTGGCAGCAGTCAACCTGGATGCTAACACAGGAACTGTGGTTATGTTGCAACTGAAGGTAATGTTTTAAGTAGCAGGAGTACAGTTTTTGGTACTTTGTCCACTATTTTCTGAAAGGTTAGCCCCTCCCATAAGCCACCCTCTAATTGTTAACTTAAGACATGGGACTTTCACTGTAGCTTCTGGGAACTTTATCTTTTACTTGGGTAAGCTTGACCTCAAAGAGAACTTCATTCTTTACACTTCATTAATTCTGAATAAGTACAGATTTGAAGATTTATGAGGCATTTGTTTCTTGAAGGGTTGGATGAATAATTCTGAGTATCTTTGATATTTGTAAGCCTTTCTTTATTAGTACTTTATACTCTTTCTTCTTCAAATTCTTTTCTCTGTCGTTAATTTACATAACTTAGTCTGGTGAGAAATGACATACCTTGATATTTTGGTTCATTACGAGCATTTCTAAAACATGACCAAAGACAGAGTCATGTCAATGGAATGTTGTATTACCTGCTTCTAATTACAGAAGAGAGAGCCTATTACATAGCAGAGCTGAGCAAGGAGGGATATTGTAATTCATTAGAAACTCCTTGGAATCCTAAATGCTCTGCTAGTACTGAAGACAGAAGCAGATAGAAATTCTAAGCCTTAATAAAACAATCTGAAGCAAAGTGCTCATGTGTAATTGTAGCTGTGTGCCACGATGAGACAGGCTCAGTTGTCCTATATAGATGAGGTGGCCAGTGTGCTTATCTTTTAAAATGTTTCTAGCTGTGAAATGAGACTTAGAGCTATATTTTATTTAAGAACAACTTGTTCTTGCAGAAAAATACCTCCATTTTTACTTGAAATTCTTTTTTTAGTCTTCAGTAAGTTTTTTTAATTAAAAATCAGTTTTCATCTAATCCTACAGGATGAAATATCTTTAAATATAAAAAATATTTACATTCATTAAATTAATGTAAAAATGGATGTAGAAAGCTAAACTATATATTTAGGGCAAATGTTTGGAACTAAGTGTCTGTCTGTCTTTTGCCTGGTCTTTTCCCCCAGAGGAATCCTCTTTTTGGCTCCCTCTCTATGGAAACATGTGTTGCCGTTTAGTTGCTCAGCCTTCCTGCATGGCTAGGGATATGATGTCAGGATTTCTTAATCAACAGGTAAGAAGATCTTGCTTGTGTTTACATCCTCTTCTGTTAATAGCTTTCACTAAGAATCAATTGTTAAAAACATTTGCTTTTACCTGAAGTGGTTTCTTGAGAACTGTTATTTTTCACCTGTTCTACCTAGAGCAAGGGGAGAATTCTATCTCACAGCTGTGTTTACAAACAGTATCTTCTGTGGCTAAGCGTGAAGAAATAAATGTTTCCTTGGCATGCTTATCAATACAATTATTTAGGCTGTTACATAAAGATCCAGTATAGTTGTTTCAGAATTGGTTTAGGCTGGTACCTGACGGCAGCAGTCCTAATAATCCTGTGGCTCTCATCCTTGTGCTAGCACAAGAGTTCATATCACAGCATGGTGAATCTGATTGGTGAACCGAGCCATATTTAAACTCATCCCTTCAAAAATGATTCATGTGAACTCAGTTTACTTCTCTCTCTTGGTTCATTGCACAACTAGGCAAATGAGAAGGTGATCGCGGAGCGTCAGAGGGGCTGGGTCATTTGTCAGGAGTGCTTTAAACTGGTGGTGAAACTATAATGTGCTTATGAGTGCTGTTCAGAAAACTCATTTGAGAAAGTGGAATTCTAGACAAATGTCTTTGCTCGACATTTGTTGAATGACTGTGTATTTCCAAAGTGAGATACTCTTATTTCCCTTATTGTGTAATTACTCAGTTAATAAAGGTGGTTGCTTTCTCACAGTAGATACCAGTTCGAGATTTCATTCTGTGTGAACCAGCAGATTCTGTATTGTTAGTGTCACACAGCAATAAATCTGCGAAAACTGCAAAACACCGAACAACATTCAAAGTGTTGCTAAAATCAGTGACTCTGAATGTTCTGCAACAGAAAGTCTTTGTTTTAGGAAAGAATTCAGTGTGGCTGAGTTGTGATCACATAGGGTTGATCTGTGTATACCTTGTAATATGCTCTTAATTTGTAGTTTGTTTGGCAATTTCTGACTATTTCTTCCCTTTAGCAAATGATAGGAAGCCTAACTAGCTGGAGGAGGCTGTATTGCGTACTAAGAGGTGGCAAGCTCTTTTGTTACTACTCGCCAGAAGAAATTGAGGCTAAACTGGAGCCAGCATTGACAGTTTCCATCAACAAGGTAAAACTTGTTGTATGGTTTGGGTTTGGGTTTTTTTTTGGGGGAGGGGGTTGTTTGTTTATTTTGGGGGAGGTTGTTTTTGTTTTAAGACATACCTAAGTCGTTTGGGCCCTAAGCTGCTGGTATGCAGAATGCTTTATAGAGCATGTGGGTGGGATATGCTTCAGTGAAATTTGCAGTCACTGAAGTTTTTAGCAAGGACATTACATTACTTAGCTGTGGACATAAGTTCATTCTGTTGCATTAAACTGGTTAACACAGAGGTAAAAAGGAGGATGCTTTTCTTTAGGAAAAGTGAGAACTTGTTATATGACAGTTCCATAAGACAGCCCTTGGCAATGTGTTGCTTACAGTCTGTTATCAATGCTCTGGTAGACTTTTGTCCTCAGCAAGGTGGAATTTTAACAAAAGCTTTGTTGTTGCTGTATGTTACTTGGCCACAGTCTTAATTAGGAGGAGAGCTGGAAAATTGTTCAAAATATTTTAATATTCTGCCTTAAAATAAGCTGCTTTTCTTAATACTGGTTTTGTACAGGGCACAATAACTTTGGAAGTTCTGGTCTCTAGGATGACATTAGTGCTGCTTTTCATACCCTGATTGGAAAGGCTGAATTTAAAATGTAAAGTTAAAATGTTACTTGCTATTTGGCTAAGGAAACATAAAGTATTTAATTTAAAGTAATATTAAAGTGTTCAATTTAGGAATGTCATTGGAAGGACCTTCTAGAATGGCGAGCATTAGAGTGAACAGATGCTTTCAAAAACTGGTTTTGGTCCAGTCATCAAGAGTTAATATCACATAAGCATGAGCAGAGGAATTTAATGTTGTTTGCAATTCACATAGCTGGATTTGTCTTACATAAGTAAATAGACACGTTTGGAAACTGTGTTAAGCACAGGTCAATCTGGATTCCGCTGTTGTACTACTGTGAATACTTGATGCCCACACTAATTCTGAAAGAAGCATTCCTCCCGTCCAGTCGCTTGTTCAGGCTGCTGTGCTGCTTTATGCCAGGGCAGGCATTAGGGCAGCAGACTGATTAATCGGACAACAGAACTGATGTGGGTTAAAATTAGCTCATTTTGGGGGGCAGGAGGAGGGTTGGCTTCAACTGTGGTTCCTCTTAATAAATTCTCTTATCCAGTTCACCACATGGTGACACAAATGCTCGTATGGTACAAGAAAGGGTCTAGGCTACAACTGGGAATATGTAGGGACATAGGCTAATACAGAATGGCTTCTTACAAGAGCAATATCAGCTTTCGGTGGCTTTAAACTTTCTGGAAAATATGACTGCATTCTTACCTAGAGTGAGACTTGTGTATAAACCAAACATTTAAACTAGGTATGACAATGTGACCTGTTTCTGTTAGGACTTCTTTTTTAGTGTGTTAAGATTTAAATTGATTCCTTAATTTAAAACAATTTTCTGCTTGTGTCCTATCTTTTAACAAAGCCATTTTTCCCCCAATTGTTCATGCATTTGCATTAAGTAAACGTTTAGACTGTGATACATATTTAAGCAGGTTTACTTGCTTCCCTCTTCCCACTTTTAATTGCACTAGTCAGCCTTTGCCATGATTCTGTTTGCCAGCTGTTCACAATATCAGTTAAAAAATGGTAAACTTCAGTAAATTATAGAATGACTAAATCCATATTCTAAAATGTGACACTAATATTTTTAAAAATTATCTATCAGGCTATCTCATATCTTTCCTTGGAGGTCTCTGTTTTGGTCTCTATCCTAGTTTTGCTTTTCCTTTTAAAATAGCCATATTCTACTAAGGTATTTTGCTCCTCCAAGTTACCAATACACTTGGAACCTAAAATCCAGCTTCATAAGCCTTTGCTGGGAGACTGTCTGTATGTTTGCAGAGTATCCTTAAAGCTAACATGTAGAAGGTACATAAATTGTGTATCTTATACCACTTTACAAAAATGTCAGACTGCTGGAGAATGACTGCGAATCCTTCTTCGATTTAAATTAAAACTAGAAAAAAATTGCAATTTAAACATATTTGGATACTTTACTATTTAAACAGTTTCTCTTGAAAATAATTTAATGCCTGCAGATATTTTTTGATTTCTTTGTTATGAAATTTCTCTTACGGATTAAATGAAAGCAAACTAATCATATGGGCTTGTCTGCTACGTGTTGTTATAGAAACAGCAATTTCAAAATGAAAGTTGAGATTGAACATCAACTGTAGACGTTCTAACTAAAATCTTTTCTGGTTGCATATGTGGCATTTTCATTTGTAATGTGAAGCTGATCCTTTACATGTAATTGAAAGATACTTTATGAAAAGTAATGAAATCATCTGGATTTATGAGAAACTCTCTGGAAAATATTCACAATGATAGCTTTATTTCCCGTTCCCTTTGAATCGAGACTTGAAGAAGCCATTAAGACCAGCAAAGTCATTACTTCAACTTCAGATGACTTCACTGCTACTACTGTTGAGCAAGAATGGTTCTGCAGTTCCTATTATGCAAGTGCTATTATTATTGTTCCAGCTAAATGTGATTATAACATATTATATTGCACAACTAAGTAGGAAAAGAGAAATTATATTTTCTGTAGCAAAGAAAATTTGCTCAATCCAATTTGAACAAGAAATACTCCTTATGGGCCAGTTCCTGAAAATTTTTCAAGTTTTCTTTAGTTTGAAATGAATAATAAAGGCCTTGCCTACACCTGATAGCTTAGCAAATTGGTGCGTGTGCCAGTGGTTCACGTTAGTTGCTCAGTGTTTGGAATACATATTCTGTTGTGTCCTGGTCGTAGATTATAAATTTTTTTTTTTTTTTTTTTTTGCGCCATGTATGCCTGAAGCTTGAGGAATTCTGGGACATTGGTGCGAGTTAATGTAGGCTCATGATTTCTTCCCTGGCATATTTTACCAGTGCAATCTTCGCTCTGGTGCCACACAGTGCAGCAGGCCCAGAGCTCTCTCTGTGTTTGTGCTAATTGTTGGATTGAACAGGATGAGGAACATCAAGTGTGTGCAGCCATGGGCTCAGGGTTCATAGACTGGTTGCTAAACAGTGTAGGTGTGAAAGGGCAAAATGAAGCTGACATTTCTGCAGACTGTTTTGTTGAATGACAGTTCGTGTTGGAACATCTGTTCTGGGCTAGGTCACTTAGAGAAATTCATTGGAAAATATAGCGATGGCTGCAGCAACATAACTTCAAGGGAGCCGTGCAGTATTTCTAGGGAACCAGGGAGTTTGACCCTTGATCTGGAGCAGAAGGATATTGATACAAGTTCTTGACCATGTGAACATTTAGGGAGCCAGCAATATGAGCAATATTCTCTCTGTGTGTTAGGGAACTTCAGCAGTGGTGAAACTAGAGCAGCCCTGAACATATCTGTGTTCTCTGTAGTAAGGACTTTGTCCCACTGGTTGGCTCAGACAAGCCTCCATACATGTCAAAATATTTTGGGAAAGCACAGACTAGTAAAATGCCTCCAAATACCTGGTATCTCCTGTCTCATTGCTTGGTTTAGTCCTGCAATTGCTTGAAAGAAATTGTGGATGCGGGCTGGAGAAGATGATTAATACCCAGATTCCACGCGGTGGACCTAATAACACACATGCTCAAATTGAGTGGTTTGGAAACGATGCTTTATGGCTCCCTGGTGCTCCACAGAATGCTGGCTGGACATATAATGCCATCTCCTTCTCCTGGTTTTTAGCTGCTGCATTGCACCGAAGATAGCTAAAATGGCACAGAAATCCTAATATTGCTCTTCCATGTTGTACTTACCATCCAGTGGCCCCATGGAAGTTATGTTAATACAAGTTCACACAACAATGAAGATGAAAGAAGAAAATATTTGTAGCTGATATGGTGAATTTGGTCTTGTGCATTAATATGTTTGAAAGCCATAATTTTAAATTTAACCATATTTCCCTGGTTGCCTAAAACAAACCTCATGGAAATTGTTACCATTACAGCAGAACCAACACATGAACAGATTATGTTTTGTTTCCAGTGTTGTGTTGTTATTTCTTGGTTTAGTTTTTGGTACTAAAAACATGGAGGAAGTTTGCATGTGTGATTTGGTTTTTTTAATCTTAAAATAGGTACACAGAACTGGATCTTAGGCTATTCAATATTTTCCTCAAGAATTGTAATTTGTTTTGATGTCTTAAAATGATCTTTATAATCACTGTTTCTCAGTGTGTTGGGACTGGCTTAGCAGGAAAGTATTGCACCTCAGCAATAAAAAAAAGTTCTCTCTTTTTTTATCTTTTTTAGCTCAAAAGATGAGCTTTCCAGAGAAGTATTATCAGGCAAAGAGATTTTTTTTTATTTGGGGCGAAAAAGTATAGAGGAAGGTTTGTTATTTACACCATATTAAAAAAACCCACCACAACAAACCAACTCTCATTTTCCCTTTTAGTCTTTCCCCACCTTCAAAAAATAATCTTTTGCCTGTAGGATGTAAGACTGACTTCAGCTTCCTGAAAGAGTCATTTGAGTTCAAGATTTAACTCAGTTTTTTCCTATTCTGATCCACTGGTGGTTCTGGTCTTTACAATAGCTGTAGCAGAGCTGGTTCAGTTGCCTGTAAGACTGTGAAAGGTTGAGCATTATTATAACATGGTACTTCAAGACACATTTTTGGTTGTTGTTTTGTGTGGGGTTTTTTGGTTAGGTATTTTATTTTTTTTGTTAAGTGGAACTGGGCATGTAGTGTAATTCACCCAAGCTTGGTAAATTCATCAGCCTATTACTGTAATGACATCTTGTATCACTCCTTAAATATTTAAGCATCAGATATAGATTGTTGCTTGAGGATTTATCTCCTTTGAATAATACCATAGTTGTGGGATAAAACCTGCAGCAAACATCATTAAACAAAGTTGTGTGTACGGTATGCTTGAAGTTCCTACCTGTCAAATGTTAATCTATTTGATTTAATTTTTTTGCTGGTATCTATGGTTACCTGAGTTAATGGGATATAGAGCACTTATGGATGAATTACTTCATCTCCTATTTTTAGACAGAAGAATTTAAATGAGCATATCCATCAGATGTGCTACAAGCAGCTGTTGGTATTTCAAATGGTTACTTCAGTAATGCATTTAAAATCTGGGGAATGTTCTATAGAACGATTTTTGTTTTTCTGAGTATCAGAACTGGGCCTATCCCCATGGGATCCCATGTGTAAACTTAATTTCTGTAGGTGTGTGTTTAACATCTTTAGCAGATGTTTGACATTTGGTTGAATCGTGTAAAAAGGAAGATGGTTCTTCTGTCTCCACAGCATGTTGAGGAATGCCCCGAGGCCACCTTTGTGGTCAGGTTCGCTGTTCATCCAGACAGGAGACATTTGAACGCAACCTGATGGTGGTTGTTGGCTTCCTTCAAAATCTGGGGTGCTCCCCGTGCTGGGGGACACCCTTGTGCGGCAGGAGGGTGCTGCATGGGTGACCCCATGTCCTGCCAGGCTCCGGGGCTGGCCAGCTGTAGGGTGCTGGCCGGCTCCCTGGCGCCAAAACTCATCATCCCGTCAGGATTTGGGATTATGCTGCTCTCCTGGGTATGCCAAAAATCCTTTTATGAGCAGTGTCATAATAGGCCATTGCTTGTTCAGTCAGGTTGAATAGTATATGCAAAGATGTTCCCAGGGTTTCTGCTTTTACTTTTGTAAATAAAGTAATGTTAATTATTTTAATTTGCTCATCATGTTGTGATGAGCAGCAATCTTGACCAGTTGTGTTCTGGAAATTTTTCAGTTGTGTTTTATTAAACTTTTACTAAAATCTTTCAGTATTTTACACACATGTTCACTCAGGGCTAAGTGCTTTTTAAAATTGTAGTAGTGTCATAACAAAGAAACTAGATACTATGAAAATACCACTGGATCTAGTCTAGATGATAAAAATTAATTGAACTACATCCCGGAACAGAAGGGGAAACCTTGGCTGTAACAGTACCGCTGTGTAATCTAGAGCCTTTCTAACATCAGCTGAAGAAATTTGATAGACTCACGATAAACTTCTCATATATTTTTTTAAATTGTTTCTGTGTAGCTCTCCCTCATTAAGGCAAAACTAAAATGTCTATTTTGAGATGACAAATAGGATTTCTTTATATATATATTAGGGTAAAATGTTTTGTCACGCTGGAAATTTGTTCTAGCGTAGAACTGCTACAAATGCTCTTTTAAATGTGGACTAGATAAGTTTCTTTTTAAATTTCCTGTCACTATAGTATTAGCCTTGAATGTCCTGATACACTAAGATGAACATAAAATAGATACAAGTTTAGAAGCCATTGCATAAACAATGGCCCACAGAAGTACAGTAGGAGACTTAAATAGTAGCTGTAACAATGTGGTTGTCCAGCTGAAGAGTTCAGAGAAAAGGAGCTGCTTGGTGTTATTTTAGATTATTCACTAGACTACTGTGGAGAAGAATGAGCAGTGTGAGATGAGCTGGTGAAGGCAGAGGGAGGGGAAACATAGAATGTACGTTCTGCAGTTCAGAACTGAACTGCAATAACTGTGCTCTGTTCCCTTATTTTTCATATTCTATGCCATTTTAATAGTTTTATGAGAAAATATTTTTATAAGCAGTTCTTGACATTAGTTCCCTTTTTTTTTTAATTGGAAATTAATCTGGATTAGATAAAAAGCCAAATGATACCTCCCTTGTGCTCTCATTGGCCATAGGGTGATATGGGCGTGGAGCTGCAACAATAACTCATTACCAGTTTGTTGTTTCTAGGAAACCAGAATTCGAGCTGTGGATAAGGACTCCAAGAGAAGAACTAATAACTTCTCTGTTATCAACCCCATGTCTGGAGAGGCTGTGATGCAACTTTTTGCTACTGACAGTAGGGATGAACTTCATAAGTGGATGGAGGCTTTCTGGCAGCACTTTTATGATCTGAGTAAGTAAGCAGGCGGTGCTGGCAGCGTGCCCTCCAAGTGGAGTGTTACGTAACATCAAAGGGCTCTCTGAACGCTTTGAATTGGAATTGCCTCATAAGCCTTTGTTTGCAACGACGAGAATAAAAATGTTCTTTGGGATAATGTTGGGTGGTGGTCTAAGCCGTTGGAAGGCAAATATTTGACTAAACCAAAGTCCATGTGTTCAGTCTGGGTTTTTGCAGTAAACCAGAAGCAGAATATGTCGATCGATCTCAAAAGAACTTGGTCTCTTTTAGCAGTGTTCTAGACAATTTCTTTTAAGGACTGCTGAATTCTCACCATCTCTTCCTCCACTGTAGCAGGAAGAGTCCACCTCTGCCTGGGCATCCTACCAGTGGTGTTTTGGTTTTGTGAGATTCTGCAAGTATGAAATCTTTGGGTGTGGAAGCCCTAGTGGGAAGTGGTGAGGATGCTGGATTCATTTGGGGCTCTGGCTCAGATGTAGATTCAGCCAGCCCTTGCAAGTAGGCACATGTGTATGGGATTTCCTTGCTCCAGCAGTATTATGGATAAATTAAATTGCAATTTGTTGCAATAAGGATTACTTGATTCTGTTGGTAATTCTCAGGTTTTCGTACCCCTTGTCACACGAGAATATGCTCACCTAGCCATGCTCCAGTCCAGTCGTGCAAATACGCGCTGGCTTACTTGAACCTGGTAAAAGCTTTATCTGAGGCTTTCTAACAGCAGATATAAAAGAGATGATAAATTGATACCCTGATCCTTTGACTAACCTCTGGAACAACACTGCTCTTATGTGAGAGAAGAAACTCATTTATTGGTGTAAAACAGTGAAATGGTATTGTAGTAGTACGCTATGTTGCTTGTTTAACACCCAATATTTATTGTAAGAACTGTATAGATTAATCTGTCTTGGTCTTTTTCCTCTGCTTTAATATTTTGACTCACAGGGTTATTAAGATTAGGGAACAACTGTCAGTTGTTGTACTGTCATTGACAAGGTATAGTTGGTTCCTGATAGTCATTTTTATTAGGTCAGAAAACAGAACCAGGTCAATTAATGAAATGTGAGTCTTCAGTCAGAGGCCACACCAATAAAATCAGTGAATTGAGGCTGCGGAAACTCAGTATTGTAGTTCATATTTCAGTCCTTTCTAGCTCTGATTTACAATGAGAAAAGGCTCTATCAATTAAAGAAGCACACCAAGCAAAAACTAGGGCATCCTCTTTAAATTAGCTGTAGAGTGGGGTAAAAGAACTACTTCTTATTCATTATAGATAGAATACCCATGGATTTTTGAGACATTTTCCTTAGGTTCAGAAAAAAATGGGTCACTTGGCATTTAAATGCCTTTTTTCTTCCCTGGTTCTAAAATTCTCTTAAAATTAATGTGCTCAGAAAACTTGGAATGATTGGTATGAACAAAGTAATTTTACTGTGTCTTGTTTTCCTTAAGGTCAAAAATCTATTAATAGGAAAAGAGGTTTCCTTGTCTGCTAACGGATAAAAGGCAAGTTATCCTCTACTAAAGAGAGAATGTTCCTTTACTATAACATTGTAACATAGTTGTATAACGTCCAGCCTGCAGTATACTGGAGATTGTCCTAATAACTTCATGAAGCTTCCCTAACCTTAAATTATTATTTTTTTTTAGGGTTTTTTTTAATGAATTTAGACTGTGTTTGGGGATATGAAGACAAATGATGATATTTAACCTTCGTAATATAACAGTACTGCTGGGATGCTTAAATTAAAGGTAGTAGCTTATGACCTTTGTGCTAAGAGAGTGAGAGTTGAAAATTCAAATGCATCCTGAGCATTCCTGCTAAACAAAAGTAAATGCTTACTGTTTAGCATCACTTGGAGATAGTTTCCTAACACAACCTAATAACTTCAAATTTTTTTCAAGCTGAAGTGTTTAAGTTCCAGTCATTGTTCTCTTTTCTCTCTCAGGCCAGTGGAAACATTGTTGTGAAGAACTTATGAAAATTGAGATTATGTCACCACGGAAACCACCTTTGTTCTTGACAAAAGAAGCGACCTCCGTCTACCATGATATGAGTAAGTGGGATTTATTTTTTCAAGTTGCAGGGTAACAGAAACAACATTGTATTCAGATGGCTTCTGGTGTTGATGTTGAAAGACTGAGTTTTTCAAGGGCAACTCAGACAATGAAAGAGCAACATAATTGCATACCAAGGAGTTCATATTAAATCTGAATTTGTAATAGCACAAATAATGAATAGATTTTTATACCTTGAGCCAAAAAATCTGCCATCTGGACTATAACTAGGGAGCCCTGAACACATTCAAAAAAGCTGTCACTACAAATAAACATTCATCGTCAGAGTAGTATAAAGTTCAGGAAATGTAAAGGTAAAATAGTCTGGTCTGCAAACCAATAATGTCTTTAACTAGTTGCATGAAATTAATTTGCTGTTCTTAAAGCTATTTAAAGGCTTACCTAACAAAACTTACCTAATTGTTTGGTCTTTGGTAATGATGTTGAAAAATATGCTTGGAAAATCTATCTAGCATGTATTTGAGACTTCCATTTTTATAGAGCAAAATGGTATGCAGCAGGATTATTTCAATAGTTTCATTACAGAAATAATATTTACAGACTAGAAAAAGTAGGTCGCTTTGTTTTAATGGGTCCAATGCAGTATTGGCTGAGAAACACTGTACAACTAACTCTAAATGCCTGACTGCCTGCTGCTTGAGATTAGAACTGTGACGATGCTCAAAATGCCATGTGGGTCATTGAGTTACAGTGCTTCAGAGCACTGAACAGTCACGAGAGTCCTATCTCAGCTATGAATGCAGAGCAGAAAGGTAGTAAATAAACTACACAGTTGTTTTACGAAGGTAACACTGTAGCATAATTCTATTGATACTCAAGTACATCAGTGAGGAGCAGAACACAAACTCTGTTTCATTCTTAATATACCAGGTTTTTTTCCTCCTTATTTATAGTATTAATAGGTAAAACCCTGTGTTTAAAAATTTGTTAGAAAATTATTAACATGTGGCCTGCAATAGAAAAGACTGCTGCTGTTTTAGAGCCTAGTCTTAACTGCAGTATACATAGAAAACTCAATATGAGGGTAAGAAATGGGGCAAGACAGTCCTAAAGCACATAAAGAAAAATGATATATGTAAAGATGTCCCACTTTTGCAGGCTGGAGGCACAAGAATCTTTAGTCATAGACTTTTTCATGGGCATTCTGTGAAACGAAAGTTTCAAAGCACCGTACAACAAAATATGTTTAATGTCTAATACATATAGATTTCCTAGTAGTAAGGGTTTTTTTCTGCTTTTACTTGGACAGAAATATCAATGCCTACCCTGTTGTCTCAATGCCAGCTGTCACGGAAACAGTTCCCTCCTGTCACCTCAGTTCTCTCTTTGAAAGCTTATGTATTCTCTTCCATTTCATCTATTAATACTCTTAATAGTAGTCCAGACTTCACAAGACATAGTTAATACAGTTTTATATTCTGAGTAATAATAACAAAATAGGTAGCAGTAAAATCATTGGTATTGTTTTAATCCAAGTTAATTTCTGTCCCTTAAAATTACAGGCATTGATTCTCCAGTGAAACATGAGGGCTTAGCTGCTATCATACAAAGAAAAATCGAAGAGAGTGATGGTGAGTTCCTGCTCAGCCAGCAAAAAGAGTCTGCATCTCCCTTATGGGCTTCACTCTTTGATGGATCTCATGAGATGGTTGTTCAGAAGAACGTGCATCTAAGCCCAAAAAAAGATACTACAAGTCCTAATGATAGCAAAGGAAAGAAAAGAAGAGCTCCACCTCCTCCCTCTGATAAGTCACCATATGGTACAAAACCACAGGTGAATACAGAGCAATTGGGCAAGGAAAACTGGGAGAAGCCTGACCTCACATCTACTACTAGTTCTTCCTTTGATTCAAAGTTATCTATGAAAATGCAGCAGTTGCATACACCCATTGCTGCTCCTCGCAAAATTGGTCCTTGTAGAAAAAGCAATTTAGCTGACCACAGGAATCCCATTTCAGTGGTTAACAAGACTGAGTCTGAAACCAAACCGGTACCAACCCCTAGACAGAAATGTATCACAGAAGTGCTAGACCCTAGATCATGGTTGCAGCCCTAGACATCATAATTAGCCTAGAAAAGTCCCTGGAATTTTAAGTTTCTCAGCCTTCTACTATAACTCTTGACTAAAACTAGATTTTAGCATATAGCTTTTAAGTATTGAGGCTAAAGTTTGGGTTTTTTTTTTTTCTTTTAGCCAGGGCACTACTTCTAGCTGCGGTCTCAGCTGTACTCATTATTGCTAACATCTAAATAATTGCACTAGTGATGGGGGCAGTTATCTCTATCTGAAATAACGGTGCTACTTCTGAAAAGAGACGTTCAGTACTTTCCCCCTGAAAAACCGGCAGTGTTCAGGGTAACTCAGTGACCCTGCAGCAGGGATGTTACCATTGCCTTCCACCAGTCCCTCAGCTTAGTCCATCTGCAGCTCCTCAGACTGGTTCAAGTGCGAATTTCACACACATTCAGCACAGATCTTGCAAAGCTGATTTTCTTGGGCTCCATGCTTGGTTTCACCTAAAATATTCTTATCTCTCCCTCACTGTTTGGGAACCACTGCTTGTAAGATAACGTACTATGGAAAGTTGTTGGCTCTTCTGAACAGCTCTGTAAGTCCACATGAATTTCTGAAGCGGTTCTATCAATTTAGCGTGGCATCTCCTAAGTTCTTGCTGGTGCATCTGCTGTGTGAATGGACCAGGATTATCTGTGTATAATCAAGAATGTGATCCATCACTGCTGCTTATTGTCGACTAACATGGACGTTTAAAAGCAGTCCTGTGTATGAACAGCTACTCAGGATTTCATTTTTATAGTTGTTTTTTCTGACAAATGGGGCTCTGTAGCATAGCTTCTCCTTTGTGGAGCTTCTCGGCTCTTCCTGGTAGGTAGCTGGTTTGTAAATGTGGCAGTGTTACTGGTAAACAAATACGGTTTTCTCACCTCTTGTTCTTTCTGAAATAGCAGAGAATAAGTACTTCAGGTGAAAATATTGAACTTTGATATTCTTCCATCAGACTGTTCACCATTTCTTTAAGAAGGATGGGTTATTAGGGTTCCTGTAGCACCTGCAAAACATCTATTGCATATGGAATCCACAGCTTAAATACCCAACCCTTTCCTTGGATGATGCGTTTATTTCAGATGCTGGAACTTATCCAAGAGCGAAGGTCTGCTTGCGGATCTCCCTCTAGAGCTTTGGCATTCAGACCTGTGGTGAGAGAGTCATATCAAGCAACTGTATACCTACAGTTCAAGATTTTTTTTTTTCCTAAAGTGCAGGTGGCTTTGGGAGCTTGTGTGCATGGTTGGTTTGTTTTATCTAGTTTTTGTCTTCTCCTAAGCTCTTGGCTGCATAGCTGTAAAGGTGTCTGCTGAATTCCCTCAGTAGTTCCTTGGCTATTTGGGATGGGGCTTGAGAAGCAGGTTTCATTTACAACTCCTTTTGCAGGATTAGAGCCCTTCGTTTCTAGAATGTCCTTGTTCATTCTTTGTTTAATCACATTCCATTTTCCCTCTGAAACAACCATAATCATTCTTACAATAAATCATGCTGTTACTTGAGTGGATGGTTTGTGAATGGTTTATAAATAGGAACAGAAAAACTGAAGAATAACTGCATGATTATGTAAATCAGACACAGTCGACTAAGTGGACTGTGCAACTCTGAACGAGAAATAGGAAAAATAAACGGGGGGTTTTTTTGGCGGGGGAAGAAGCGTATTTTCCAAAATGCAGCTGCAGATTATTTAGCTTTAAATCTAGCCTTAAATGTTACTGTGCTCTGGAAAGAAAGAATACCTTTCTCTTGGTAACCTCCTTCCATTTAGTTGTTATATTTCAAAATAAATCTCATAAATATATAAGACAAGGAGGCACCATAATGAGGATTTATTTTTAAATTCAACAGGCCATTGAATTTCGACGAGCAGTTTCTCTATTAAATTCAGTGGCTTTGTTTTGAACTGAACATATTTTAGGAAGGCATTTAATATTAATTTAAAGTCTTCAAGTGATGAGAATTCACTCATACCTCCTGTTGCAATAGTTAATTACCCCAGGTACATTTTTCACTTGATTTTCTATTTGCATTTCTAGCTCCACCTTAAGTTATTTTGGTCTTTTTATGCATTTGATTGCTTATATTGATCTCGGTAGTATCAGCTTTTCTAATTGCTTGTGTGTAGTTATAAATCATGATTATGTCCCTTTTAACCTTTTCTCTGATGAGATGTACTGAATTCCTTAACTTTCTTATGGCAATGAATGTTATCCAAGACTAATTAATCTTCCTGTTCTTCTCTGTACTTCTCACATATTGAAATATTTTGAAGGGTGACATCTGAATTAGATGCCACATGTCAATAGTGATCCATCAGGACTATATAGAGACATAACGTGATCCTCTTACTCTGATTAATATCTCCCTCCCCTCTTTCCTCAAAAATTGTATTATCCTTTTCTGTGGAAGCATTGCCTTGGATGCTGACTTTTATGGCTCAAGTCCTCTTCAGAGTCCTTTTTTAAGAATGCAGTACATCATCCTCTTATTATCCTACCTTGTTTTTTCTTAGAAATATACTCTGTATTTTACCAGCATTAAAATACTGCTCATGAAGTGATCCAGATTGCTCTGTAAAGTGACCTGTCCTCATTCTTTACTACTCCAGCAGTCTGCATGTCCTTTGCAAATTTATTGCAAGTGATTTTTACAGTTTCTTCCAGATCATTGATTTTTAAAATTGAATGCAAGGCAAGGTTTGTAGAGAGAGGTGATAAGTTTTTATTACATCAGTGACATAGGTAGGGGGGTGGGGAAAAGCAAACAGACAGGCCATAAGAGTTCCATATTCTTTTTTGTCAGAGCCTTTAAAAATTGAGTAAGATTGAATATACTTCTTGCCGATTCCCTACTAATTCTGAAATTAGTTTTCAGTCTTCAACATAACATTCTATATTGATTTGATCTAGTACCGGTATTTTAATGAAAATTACATGTTGGTCTGGTTTTTAGTAGGTGACTTAGGGTTGTTACGGGTAACACCTCAGTGCAGGTGTCCTTGCAAGCCAAGCTTGCTGTATCAGAGTAAAATGCAACCTGTTGTTCAAGACCTATTCTCCATGAAGCTGTGCTGATTGACGTTTTATATCTACCCTTAACTCAGACTCACATGACTCAGTTCCCTATATTGTCCTGATCACCACTATGCAAACTAGTGATGCCCTTAATTACCCTGCTCATCCTGCTTCAGAGCAACAGTGTTGTTCTTACGGGCCTGCGAAACGTCACGGCAGCGTTGAGACGTGTTTAACTAATTGCACATTCAGGCTCCTACTGCTGGAAAGGCTTCTGCTACCGAATGTAGTTTCTGTTATTTTAAACAACCACTATATAATCCCTATTATGAAGCATCAGTTGACTTCAAGTTTTAGTATTTATTGTTACTTAGTCTTTTTTTTTTTTTCCTCTTCCGTATTGCCATTTATTATTGCCTTCATATTCCTTCTGTTAAGCAAGTTGGTTTAGCTGATACGAACTGCAGGTTACCAGCAAACGTTGATCTTAGCTATACAGTAAAGTACGTTTGTACTCGGCTTTTGTCTATGCAAGAGAACATAAATATTAGTAATAAACCCAGCACAATTTTAGGGTATAGTTAGAAGATATATCTGTGGGGAAAATGGACTTTTTTTTTTGCTTTTCCGTATAGTGACAAATTGTAATACTTTATTACTGATACTGGTCCCTTATCATTGCTTAGGCTTGTTCAGAAATTAGAACTCTTTCTTTGTTTTTTCCCTCAAGTTTTCCTGACTATAAGGAGGATGAATATTCAAAACAGGAATTAAGACCAATAAATTGCTTGTACGGGAGCACTCTAATAGAAGGAAGCCAGCTACGTCACGGTGCGGTACAGTGATGTTGTAGACTTTGCACTGATTCACTCCTCAAGTTTTTAAGGACGGTTTTAAGGACGTGGCGGTGGCTGAAGCCCGTCTGTTGGTAGCGCAAGGGGCTGGGGAGCTGCTTAGCCTTCCTCCTTCAAAGGGGAGGTGAGGGGGAGTCGAGAGGTGGAGAGGTAGAAGGCAGCCTATTCCTTATGGGATGTAGTGGAAACTGTTTAACTGCTGCTTCTGAGCACTAACAGGGAAGGTACTCATTAAGCCATCTTATCAGTTGCATTCAATCACGAGGGTGCTTTAATTGCGTGACTCCAAATATCAGTGATCAAAAAGCAAGAGTCATTTGATTAGCATCTATAAACAATGCCAAAATAGGAAATATTTCACAAAGACACAGATGGCATAGCCAGCCTCCTGCTGGCACGAGGCTTGGAAGACGGCAGGAGTCCTGAGGCTTCTCCCAGCCCTTGTGTCCCACTGCCCCTTGTGCACGTTTGTGCACGTAAGTCGGGGTGCTGCTGCCTGGCAGTGGAGTCTGTAGGAAAACAGCATTTGTTCAGAGACACTGCACCCGGAACAAACGGCTCAAACTACCCAGTGCAGCACGGGGAAGGCACTGCTGGCATCTCCTGCTGCTGAGCGACATGGGGGATTAGGTACTTTTCTGAGGAATTTCAGGCCCACTCCAAAAACTGTACCTGCTTGTTTGCTGCTGGAAATGAATTAATTGGTGCTTAAAAGCAGAATTAAGTAGTGGGATTGATGTCTTTAAGTCCGGTGGAGACAATAGTCAACCTGCACTCTTCTGCTAGGAGGTACAACGTGAAAGCTATTGCTAGTCCAAACTTGAATATAAATTTCACAGCACATGAACAACTTTTGAAATATTGACTGAACAAAGACTTAATTTAGTTAGCTTTTTATATTACACCTCATGTCTTCAGGTGTTCATTTGGTCTTGGAATGGTAGACAGTACCTTTTGTGATGTTAAAGACATTAGTTTAAAATGTTTACATTTTTACTAGTATTGTGGGGGTTTTTTATGGTGATTAGATTAATAGTTATTTTACAGTGGTTTGTACATATTTGGAAATACTGTCCTAGTGTTCAGAGTTAATTTGTAGTTAATGTAGATTGCCTTAATAGAAGAATGCAGATTAGGACACTAATGTATTGTGAAATGTTAGAAATCTTTTTTTGCTGCTAACATATTGTATTTCTGTTAAAATAGAAAGTGAAATTAAAAATGTTTCTTGAGTAAAAACGTTTTGGTGTGATTTTCTTCAATCTAGAACTACATGAAGCTTTACTCCAGTTTATAAACCACGAGTGATGGCTGCTGTAAAATCACAGAACTTAAGGGTGGCTACTTTTCTGCTGGGCCTGCTGAGTGTACGTATCCCTCTAGGCTCGTCCTGACAATAGCGAGCAGTATTGGCCTCCATTTTCTAAACTGGAGGAAGGGAGAAAAAACCATTAGGCAGCCAGCGTTGATCGCTCAGCTCACTGTATCCAGTAGATCTCTGTGTGAATACATAAAGTTCGAAACGTT